GGTTGGAGTCCAGCGGTGAGTCTTACGGGCACATGACGCGGAAACCCCCATGTCTGCCCTGCCCTTCCAGATGCGCTTCCTGAACTGCAGAGAGGGCCGCAAGGACCCGTCCCGGTCCATCCTGGACGTGGGCGTGGAGGAGGCCATCAGGTTCAGCGGCTTCGACGAGGAGACGTTCCGCAAGCGCGGAGGCAAGTACGTCTGGAGCAAGGCCGACCTGAAGCTGGACTGGTAGGGCTGCCGGACGCCTGCCCGCGTCGCGGGGCCCCTGCCGCACCCGGGGGGCCGCGGACTCCCTGCTGCACATGGTGGCTGACCATGTGGTCCCGGCCCGCGTTACCATGGTAACTGAACTCCACGGATGCGGACCATTCGCTGCGGCCACTTTGCTTGTTTGGTTTGGTTGGGGTGTTTTGAGCACCGTTTCCTGTGATCCCTGCGTGTCCATCTCCAAGTCATGTTTCCTGGTTTGTTCATTTGATGGTCACGTCTTTTCTGCTAAATCCCCAGCGGCCAGTGTTCACATCTGGAAAGAATTGGAACACCTCCCTGCAGCCACGCGGCTTGTGGCAACGCCGTCTCCCTTCCTGCCCTCGCACCACGGCCGCCCTGGACTCCCTCCCCAGGCGTGCAGAACGCGGCACAGGGGTGTCCGGCTCAGGAATGGCCACCTTATTAGGCTCCAGTGCCGGCCCGGGGAGGTAGCCGTGTCCCCTGATGATGCTGGGACCAGCCCAGGGTCCAGGCTGACTGCTCCATAAACGAGGGCTCTCTCTCTCTCTCTCTCTCTCTCTCTCTCTCTCTCTCTCTCCTCCCCAAGATTCCTAGCAAATCCCAGGTACACTTCCCAGTTCATGATGACATTGACCAGGGCTCAGGCCTTGGGTTGCTGTGTGGACCTGTTATTCAAGCCACATGGGTCTGTTAAGCAGAAACTGGGGCATGTATGGGGCAGATGGCTGTCGGCTCGGGCGTGTGGGAGAGCGTGAGGAGGGGCACACACCAACCGGGTCCCCTGTGGACGGAGCCAAGGGCCCGTGTCCTGCTTCTCAAGTCCTCGGGGCCACTGGGAGCGAAGTGCCGTCCAGGCCTGAGGACAGGGCCCCGCGTCTCTCCCTCGCACCTCGCGAGACCGGGAGGGGCCTGTCCCCAAAAGGGGTCAGGACCAGAGCCCTTGTTTATGTAACCGAGTCCTTGTTTATGGCCTGGAAAAGGAGAACTTCCTGTCATTGTTTCCAAAAAAGCAAAAACATGGAAAATTTTTGGCAGGAGCAGAGGAAAGAGCTATTTTCATCCCACAGCCACTCCGCTGCCCGCCACCGGGTGGCGCGTGCCCGGCTGCACTGGCTGGCCTGTTCTCACGGCCTGCGGAGTCGGAAGGGTTTGTCCTTCGAGTGTCTGTTTCTCAGCAAAGACAACTCTCCTTCCACAAAACACGCACACACACAGACGAAGCAGCCACTGCGTCAGGGCCCCAAACGAACACCCGCTTTCCCTGGGCTGCAAAGGAGGAGAAGACGGATCAGCAAGCTGCTCTCCCCTGTGGCCTTGGACGGATCGGGCTGTGGGGATGTCCCTGTAATCGGTGTAATCAGTGCAAGCAGAACTCGGGGTCTTTCTTCGCTTCACGTGCGGGTGCTCTGCCCGTCGTCGCGTGGAATAACACGACGGAGGGAGCTCGTCGGGCGCCCCGCCCTGGGTGCCTCTGAAACAGGACCCCAGCCTGAGTCACGTCCTCCGACCTCCGACCTCCGACCGGAGGGACTGTTTCTCCGCTGAGGGAGCCGGGACTTCTCCTGCCCGAAGGGGAACGACACCAAGCGGAAGCTGCCGTCGGAAGCTGCGGCTCCCGCTCCGCTCCGCGTCCCGCTGCCGGTGAAGCTCAGCCCTCCTCGCGCCCTCGGGACGGCGAAGGCTGGGTGTTTAAAACGTCCGAACGCTCCCCTCTCCGCTCGGGGCTCAGGGTGCGGTGCTTCCGAGGAGGATTGTAAAACGTGGTGCTTGACGCTCAGTTTTGAACCTGAGTCTCCAGTTTCACGGAACGTGTTCCCTGGTTGCCGGGAGGCACCGGGCGAGGGGCCCGAGGCGGCTCCGTGTGAGCGGGACGGGCGGTGCCACGGAGCCTTGATCCCCGAGGACGTCTCCGCTGTGGGAGCGGGACTGGGGTTTCGTCTTCAGGAGCCTAGATCTTCGCTGACGAGCCATCGCCCCTCCGGCCTCACGTGCGGCGACTCTGTGTTCTTAGCCGAGGGGGATGGGAACGGCCCCTTGCTGTCATGTGTGAAGATGAGTGAGACCATGTGGCGGAACCACCCGGAACGCAGGCGTCCGCTCTGCGTCTGGTGGGAGTTTGGGATCAAGCTGTTGGGTCGAGAGAGAGAGAACCTGATACGAAAGCGAGCGAACAGGTCACCTGGGCTCAGTCGGACGATGGGCGCGGCCACCCCGCGCGGAAGACGCTCAGGCCGCTGTGATCACAGGCAGCTTGCGCCCCAGGGTTCACCGTCCGCCTGAGTGTGACTCGCGCTCTGAGAGCCGAGGGAGACCCATGTATATACTGTCCTCTGTGGCTGGTGCTGTGTTGGAAGATATCATGTATTAAATTGTGTTTTGTACGAGCCTCCTGTCTCAGTGAGTGTGATGAAGGGTGTTTAAGGCCGTTGTGCACGTTACAAACTGCCGTCGCTAACGGCAAGGACACATTACACATCAGCGAGGCTGTGCGGGCCCATGAGCACGTTAGCCTCTCGGCAACGAGGGGAGTGGAGATGAGATGGCGGACACTCGTCTTGTTTTCCATGTGGAAGCCAGCATCTGCGGACTAGTGTCCCAAACTCATCCCGCGGGAGGGCTGAGCTCCTGCAGACGGGCGCCAGCATGGCAGCAGCCCCAGGTGTGGGTGTCAGAGGGCTGAGCTCCTGCAGGCGGGCCGCCAGCATGGCAGCAGCCCTGGGCTGAGAGGTCAGAGGGCTGCCCTGCTGAGTGCGACCTGGTCAGCTGCCCAGGAGAGAAAGGGCTCCCCCAGACCCTGGTTCCCGGTGTCGGTTCAGTCTGGACCCCACAGATGCCTGGGGCTGGCCCTGCATCGGCCCCACAGGCAGGAAAGGCTGACGTTTCTGTCACCTGCTCCCTCTCCCGCCTGCTCCCAGCTCCCTGGCCCCAGCGTTCCCCTCACGCCTTCCGGCTGGAACCGGTCTCCCTGGGACCCCCGGGCGCCCGAGCCCTGGTTGGAAGCACTCACTTCCCTGAAGGCCATGGACTCACTCCCTTCCACCCCGATGGGCCGGCCTCGGCTCCAGGCCCAGGACAGGGGCCTGGTCCAGGGACGAGACTCCAGGGACAGCCGGAGCCCTCGCCATCATGGCCGGGTCACCCCAGCCCCAGTGGGTGCTCACCTCAGTGCCTCCGCCAGTCCGGGAAAGTAACCAGACCTTACACAGGAACTGCGGGGCGAGTCCAGCTCAGAGGCCACTCACGGGGCTCGAGTGACCGGAAAGACGCCGGCGTTGTGTCCCTGACTGAAAAGAGCACACGTCCAGGGTCTGTTTGAAAGGCAGTCCAGCAACAGGAAGAAAATCAAATCATCCACAACGGTGCCCCCAGAGGCGACTGCGCCTTCACCCGTCTTCCCGGGCAGGCCCCTGTTCAGAGTCCAGTTCATGCTCCCTGTTCCCGCCCGCGCCCCTTCTGGAGGGTCGCACGGCCAGTGGTGTCCTCAGCGTGAATGAGAGCAGCCGCCTCTCACAGTCCCGCTGAGGGGAGAAGGGCCCGTGCGTTCACAGCCCCACAGTGAGTGTGACACACGCCCTGGCTGGGCTGCCCCTTGCCTGCGTGCCTGCATGTGGACGTGAAGGCCTCTCAGGTTCTGGGGATTCGCTTTATCTCTTTTTAAAAAAATATATATTTTATTGATTTTTTACAGAGAGGAGGGGAGAGGGATAGAGTCAGAAACATCCATGAGATAGAAACATCGATCAGCTGCCTCCTGCACACCCCCCACTGGGGATGTGCCCGCAACCAAAGTACATGCCCTTGACCGAAACCAAACCTGGGACCCTTGAGTCTGCAGGCCGACGCTCTATCCACTGAGCCAAACCGGCCAGGGTGATTTGCTTTATGTTAACAACAACCACAACCACAACGATAGAAACAAGGCTGGAGCGAGCCGCTCCTGGGGCATCTGGGAAACTGCCCGAAGGCTCCGTCTTATTGCCCAGGCATCTCGGCCGTCCCCGCTGCTCCTGCTCCCGGTTCGCATGCGGGTGCTTATGTTT